GATTGAGGATTATAATAAACTAAGTCATTTTAGGGTTAACGAAGGTTAACTATTCAAAAAATCAATCCAAAATCTGAGTATTTTTCAGTTTTACGCTGACTTAGCTTTATAGTCGAGCTAATCAATCTTTTAGACAAAATTATAATGAACACAGAAGTAATTTTAACATAAATATTTTACGGAATCCGTTCCTGAAATATACAAATAATAACATACCAAAAGTTCGAAAAAATCTAATAAGGGGAACACTGTTCATTATAAAGATATTTAATGGGTTAAAATAAAACAATTTATTGCACAACTGCTCTGCCGGAAGCGTATAAATGCATGTCATTGCCAAGTTGTTGCTAACGAAAAAATGTGAATTATAGGGTAATACGCCCGCGCGCGATGCGTTAAAGGCAAATGTTGCCGAGTGATCTCTTTCTCAATAATACTTCCATGGATCAACTAGTATTTATTGTCTTTCCCTCCTAAAGACTTCTATCTGTCGTCTGCTTGCAGACGTTCACAGCTATTACCTCTCCTGGTACTGGTACTGGTATGAGCATTTATATTGGGCCTTTTCCTTGCGGTTAGAAAGCGCATGCCCAATCTCATAGTTCAGGAAAAAACATAAGGCAGCATGTAATACAGCATTAAACAGAAATCACAAGCGCCACAACTGTAATGTCAAAACATTTAACAAAAGCAAAATACAACAAATACAGTTCAACAGACAAAGCAATCAGACAAAAAAAAACAACAATTGGAAGCTCCTCTGTTAAGAGTTGCTTGAATAAAATCATAGTTTTTCTTTTCAGTGGAGTTGATATGTCAATCTCTGCCATCCTCTACCATTTAAAAGAATAGTTGTATATGATAAGTACCGGTGATATGCTGATATATGGTAATGCTGATACCATATCACACCAATATACGGCAAAATAATAATCATTTCATCATATAAAAAGTGACCGTAGCCTTCCTGCAACACTGTCAAAGAATTGCAGGTTTAGAGCCAGGAAACGTACACTCAAAAGATTAAAGCTGCGTTGACATCGGATCTGAAACAAAATTGTTTTTACTCCCTCTTGTTTTTTCTCTCTTCTGTTTTCTGTTAGTTCTTGTCTTTCGTATATATGTTTTTTTAAAAAATAAATGAAATGAAAAGAAATAAATAAATGAAATGAAACACACAGATAGAATTTCTGATCGGTTTGGTAGGACTTCCGATCTAGAAATTTGGATTCGGTGTGAATCTCTAAACTGTGTTGATATGCTTCCATACTCCTTTCCATCAGGACACTTGGATAAAAGAGAGTGGGTACACTACTAAAATCACAGTCTTCCTTAAATAGATAGTTACCTGTCTAAGTTCAATCTGTCAGGGTTGTTGCTCCTTTCTTCAGGTGGCCTAGAGACAATGGCAACACCTGGCAAAGATGGGCTCTCAGAGAATATAACCTTGTCAGCTACTGTGAGATAAAAAATAATACATTGGGAAACATTAGTCAATTTGTTACCTCTTTACGGACAAAAATTTTGCCATAGGCTAGTATCTTGTTATCTACCATTGGAATATCTATATGGATGTGGCTGCATACACATGAAGTGGCTGCACTGGGCATGGAAAGTTAAAGTAATTCAAGTTTAAATAATTCTAATTTTATCAGCTTCAATTTTATACCACCATTTTTTTGTAGCTCAACCAATTTTAAGTAAAAAGAGCCACAAGACTTTCTACACAACAAACAAACTTTGCAAAGGACAGGATAGAATAAAGTCTATTGAATTAATATTGAATATTTTTATATGATTAACACCATAGTGAGTTTACTTGTAGCAATCACTGACTGATGAAGATAATGATGATGAATTAGATAATTCATTCAAATTATTGAGTGGTTAAAACATGATTACAGTTAAACTTGCCACTTTTGCTAAGTCGATTAACTTCTGATTCAATCTTTTTTAACATGCCAAATTGTTGTGTTTTCCATTAAGTCAAATTTTATCTAAGTCTAACAGTTTTTTAATGCCATTTTGGATTCGACTTTTAGGCAAGTTCAACTGTAGTTTCCACTAATGCACACCTACACACATCCAATGAAACAATGTTTCAATGTTGCCTGTCAACAACACAAGCACAAAACATCTGCATGCATTATTGATGAAGACATTAATTTTTGTTAATAATATGACGATCATGTTAAAATGCAGTCAACACGACACAACAATTTAAGGTTACTACACGAGTAATGAGAGGCTATCAGTCATTGCAGGATGGATATCATGTCTTGACTGTATACAATGACATTTGACAATAAAGAACATCTTCTACCTTGCATCTTGTTAAGTAGTAAGAGGATAATACAATAACAGTTACTAAACATATGCTGTTGAGTAGGAAGGGGAAATTACAAAGGCAGTGAAGGCATGTAAAGACTAGAATGGAGGCATTAGTCAAGTGGGTATCAATAGTACAGGTGTTAATGTGTCATCACTGATATGTTATTTTTGCTTGGCTACCTGAGGTCACATGGTTTGCTGGAGGTGGTGGGCTACTGCTTACAGCATCTGTGAATGAATAGGTACATCAGAGTGGAAAAATGAAAGAAAAAAAATTAAAATATATAATATTGTTAAGATCAGTCAGATTGATCGGAAATATAAACATGATTTCAATACAACATACAAAGTCTGTCTGTAGTTGTTTGCTTTGGGGCACTCATTAATATAAATAATAAAATATAGAGATTATATTATTCTAACAGAAACAACAAAATTTATAAAAATAATGAATTTCTAAAAAATATAAAGAATATAATAACATTTAATTAATATAAATATTTAAATGTAAGAAGTATCAAATTTATAGCAATATTAAAATGTAAAAAAATATTAAAATGCATAGAAATATAAAATTTAAAGAAATAATAAAATATAAATAGAACCCACCATGAGTGTTATGGATAGACCTCTGTGTCCTCGAGACTAAGGTAGCACTCTGCACGTGTCTTGTCGGCTGACTGTAAGGGTTCTCATCGTGAGGTAACGAGCCTGAATACGGGTTAGTGAGATCAGTTAGTTGTGTGGCAAATGCTGTTGAAGTATGGTGTACCTGGCGGTTGCGATGTGGACCACGAGGGTTGGCAGCTCCTACACATAATTGAGGTAAAACAAAGATGATGCAAAGCAAATTTTGAAATAATCAGATATAATATAGTACAATGTTTCTATACTTATAATAATTCAGTTATTATATTTTTCTAGAATTGCAGCCACAGGATTTTTGCAAATCAGCAAAAAATAAAAGTTTGGGTTTTTGGGTTTGGGTTTATTGAAGGTTGAAATCAATTTTAATGAGCAATTCAATTTTTTTTTCAATAAATATTTGAAGGTTCTTCTACTGTAGATTAAAGATTCAATAGATAATCATATAAGTCTACTAATGGCTTCTTACCACAATACACTGTTGTTAAATTTCTGTCTGTAAAACCGTCACTATTTCCGTACGGATGACTTTGCCGTCTGAGATGACCTCCAAACTCTGACCCTCGATGGGCATTGTTATAGTCCCTTGCCAATCTGAAGTCTGGATTCTACAGCAGAGGCAAAACAAATAATTATGTAAAGTGTAAGGCTACGTTCAGACTTGGATATAAGCCAGGTTTGAGTTAAGCCCGGCTCAACGTTAAGCCCGCCTTAACTTTGCCGGGCGTTCAGCGGGATTAGCCAGGAGGCGCGAGCATTTGCATAATAATGAACCGTGACCGTTTCAAAACATTGTTCGCAAAACGTATGCTCGCTCACAGCATACATAATTGAATGCAGATTGGTCATAGTCAATGCAAGACCGCCCGCAACAATTAAAGCCCGGCTTAGAAAAGTTAAACACGGTGGCATGCCAGGCCTAGTTACTATAGGAACACAGCCTGGCTTGAGATGAGTTGAGCCAGGTTTATCCACCTAGTCTGAACTAGGCCTAAAAGAATAGAAGCCCGTCCTATGCAAGACTGAAAACACATCAAAACAAAGAGTAAAATTTAGGCTTTAGATTTGTAACCCTGTGGTTTAGGGTGCAGAAATATACTTAATTGCTCTTTAAATGGTTAGGAACACAGTTAGTAGAATTGTGAAGAAATTGCAATCAGCAATTTTGAGAATTAGATGTAAATTGCAAAATGTGATCAACCTCTGCATCAACAGAAGTGGATCAAGTTCACATTCCAAATGGCAACCTGTTCTTTTTACATCCAAAATCTGCCTCTGGTGATTGTATATAACAAGCCTGTCACTTTCAAATAACAAACAATTTTGTATTATGATTTGAAATCAATAACACACTACACAAAAGATTTAAGTATTCTGTGATGGAAAGTGGAAAAAATAAAATTAATAAACAATATTAAGGGTGGATTGTGATCAGTACGTGCTATTGTTAATAAGAGATGTGTGTTAATATCAAATGTAAAAGTCACTGGTTATATAAAAGACAGCTGATATACAACTTACGTTGTGGCAAACATCAAATGGCCGAATATTTGCTCCTATAAAATTAATAGCTGATTTTGTCTGTTGTTGCAGTAAAGAAACAGGTATAAACCAGAATTGCTGTCATTAACTTGTAATCTTTTATAAACTTTACTACTTCAATGAATTAATGTCATACATTAATAACTGACACTCCTTGTCAATATATTTTTATTGGTAATTTGGATTTTCATTTAACATTGTCTTCTACTGTGGTATGTTGAATACATCTTGATATTAAGTTGAGCAATGAATATGACCATAATAGGCCCACAATAGGACCATAATAGGACCACAATTATTTTTTATTATTTACCTAAAATAACAGAAATTGCATGTGATGAAAAAGAAAGTTTTGATAAATAAAAAACATATCAAATTATTTTAGATTGAGATTAAAATATTTCCACATTCTTTTCTATAAAATATCTGAATAGTTGACTGAATGTGGGGGTCTTTTAATCTGACCTGAAAATTGCTATGGTATTGGTTTTCAAGCAATGAATAAGGTAACTTTCAATAGAGCTGCAATAAATATTATAATAGTCTCGTTTATTATAAATGTCCAATTTCATCTGTCAGCCTCAAGAAAAATAGTTTTATCAACTACTGTAGCTAATTATATGAGATGACAATAAATTACGAACAGGAAATCATGGTTAAAGACGCATGATTAAATTAGTAATCACACATTGAGTTTTATAGATGAAGTACAGCATGATTAAAGAAATAACGCTACTTGTCAGGTCTCATTTGAGAAAAAAATTACCTGTGGATTTTTCAATTAATATTATCAAGATTGCTATTTCCCTCGCAAACATTGGTCACTTTCTAATATAGAATATGGCTTGTATTTGCCTACCATCCAAGATCTATTTAATTTCATATTTTTTATTGTCATAATGAGATAATGAGATAGGTGTTCGAAAGTGCATTCATTGATACTTCCGAGGTAACTGTTTTTCGTGTAGTTTAATGAGACAGTATTTTAGGAGTACTGTACCTAATTTGCTAGAGGAATTGGCCCACCACAATAAAATCTCCATTATGCGCTCCAACACACAAGTATATTAAGCCAAAAACCTGATGAAACCCTGTAAACACTCTCTGTCCATATTTTACCTCTAAATTCTTCTTTAATCCAAACCATTAACTCTTTTTGGGAGGGCTAGACTAGGAGTTAACCATGTAAGATCGTGTAAACCTGGTATGGAGGAATGATGATATGAGTCATGAATAAAGATAAAAATGAATGTAAGACCTGTCCTAGAAAGTTCACTAAAAAGTCACTACAGTAAACAACACCACACATTTCCTGACAACCGAATTCCCATCATGTGGATACTTTATTAGTAAATATAATACCTGTACAGTAAGGCAGTATAGGGCATAGACACATGCTCCCGCTGGAAGCCTTTTTTTTTTTTAAATAAGTTAGTACCTGTAATGTAATGTGAACAACCAAGGGTAACTTCAGGCAAAGAAATATCAGTCTATATTATATAAGGCTGGGAGTTTCACTAATATTTGCACACCTAGCCTCAAATAGACAAACTGATTTACTGTATATCTGAAGAATAAAGCCAACAGGGGTTAAACAAACACACAAGCAGTTGATGGAAGAGCACTATGTACGAACCACTTAGCTCTACAGCAAGCAAAACACAAAATGAAAGCGTTGACATGCACTATGTTTGCCAACCACTTACACAATGTTGTCAGACAGAAATTATCTTAAACTGCCAAACACAACTCAGCTGTGTTTAATTTTCTAAATTAAGAGATATTTTATCTATCAATTCAACAGCAATGACCGAGTCAATTTGCATAATATAATCAGCAGCAGAAAGCGTGACTTTTTTAATTACTGCAGATTAAGTTTTTACTGTTTTGTTAACAGATATTTTAGAGGTTACATAAAGAAGCCTTAGCTAATTAGGAATTAAAGAAATTATATTTGAATATTCAGTAGCAGAAAAAACCAGGGGCGGCGCCAGGATTAGCCCGATGGGGGTCGAAAGTAACCAACAGGGGGTGCTGATATCCCCCCCATAGCGCTGCCCACTGTGAACTGCTAATATTGAGGAAAGGGACACCCCTTTAAACTATTTCCATGACCATATATCCTTGATTGGAACTTCATGCAAACAAGGGAAAAAAACATTCTGCAAGTACTGATGTTTAATATGATGTTCAGTTCCCCAGAATGTGTGCAGAACATCATGAATAACTACTATTATTAATTACTATAACTTCAATCCTTTGTATCACTTGACACTGGCCTTGGCCTTACGTTGATTGATAAAGGATCGATTACCAAAACGAAATCAAAGATGCTTTTTTCTATAAAAAAACAAAAAAAACAAAAAAAAACTTGTATAAAAAATGTATTGGTATTAAAAGGAAACTAAATAATTAAATCCTATGACCAAGGATGGTCACTATACATACCGTATAGAGTTGTATACAACAGTAAATACTCTAGGCCTCATGCATAGATAATCATTTTAATTGCAATTTGGATAATATAACAATTCCAGTATTTTGCCTTTACCTCATGGTGAAATTTAAAATAAGAAAATGAATAAAACATGTCATACAGTATTACACTAGCATAATTCCCTTTGATACAGTGACAATCCATAAACACTTTGCAGGAACCAGTGTTTGGTACGTTACTATAGTAACAGTGGTTTTGAATATTAAATTACTACAGAGATCACTGTTATCTTTGTCCTTATTTAATATTTTTGGTTTCTTTACATCAAAAGCCGAAATAAATCAGAAAAAAAAAAGTTTGATGAAAAAAAAAATTGATAAAAAATATTTGAAAATTCATACTCCATTCAGTTTATAATCCCAACTGGGCTTCATCAATAGGCATGTGGATTACAGACTGAATTATATGTGGTCACAGCAAATATTCAAGGTATTTTGTAATTTAAAGAAAAGAAATAAAGTCTGTTACTTAGTCATTCTGTGTATCCAATTTTTATTTTAACACGAAGACACCTGAAATCACCCGTGGGTGTTTTTCATCAAGGCCATACAAAATGATTGAGAACATAATGAACTAAAGAAAACTACAAAAACAAAGCATATGTTATTGGTAAGCTTTCTGCCTCTTATGCTGAAAACCCCAGTTTGAAACACGATTGGAAGTCAACACTTCAATTTGGGTCAGAGCACTCAACTCCTTAAGTAACTCTCACATGGGATTTAGGCGAGTTAACAGACAATGCTTGTACTGTATACATTTATGTTGTTATATGTGGGTTTAGGGCAGAAATGAAAAATTATTACATATAATTATAAAAATTAACTTTAGCTTTAAATATATTTCTAAAAGTACATAATAATAATAATAATAATTTTGAGAATAACTGACTAATATTTTTAATCTATTATCAATGTAGAATTTTACATTTTTTCTGGGATTATTTTTTTTCCTATTTTTGGAATTTGATATAAATAAAAAAATATTTTAAAAAAATAATATTTTGCATTATTCCATTCTCTACCAATAGCTCAGTAGTGGTCTCATTAAACAAAGGATTGTGTTCATATAAACATTGGGCACTAAGGGCTTGGGGTAAATTATTTTTAAGAGAAAATTCTAGCAATGTCACAACTGAAGAATTAGAAGAAAAACACCTATACATAAGCATATACTGTAATTCAAACGCCAATTGTCTTTACATTTTTTCCTATGAAGGGAATCTCTGTAGCCATGGAGATGGTAATGAGGTTTGGATAGATGCATACTTGATTAGCAAAACATGAAAGCATTCTTTACCAAGAATAGAAACACATTAACCTCATGGCAGGACCCCAAGCTATTATGTATCATGACCCAGAAATAATTAAATGGCTGCCTAAACTTAGAAACCAAAATATTTTATCAACTGTAAAGGACATAAATTACTGAACTGCCACATCAATGGACATTTCTGCTACACCCACCATCTAGGATCTCCATTTAAACCAAAATGAGTTATTTTACTATTCTTTTCTTTAAATCAACATCAATAACAGATTACCAATTAAATATATTAATGCACCAATCTCAAAAACAATCAAACACTGTTTTTTAATTAACTTTAAACAACTAATGGACATTTTATAGCTTTCTACAGGAAAAGGCAGAAAAAACAGGTTCATTGGTCATACTGTAGGTTTCAATATCAGGAATTCAAGAACTTGAAGCATTTCATAGAACATATTTGATTTGCTGGTAATCATAGTGGGTTTAGTGTGAAAAAAAACAAAAAAAATAAGAGAGGGTTGTTTTCCTACTAACACCTTTGCAACAAACGTCAGTGTCAGAGCAGGCAGGCAGTGTTTTGAGGGTGTTTTTATGTCTTCAATTCAACAGGTTTCAACAGGTTGTTTAGGTAGGTCAATGTTAAGTAGATATTAATGGACTGTTGGTTCAAGAAATCTTCAAACACAATTACATTTTCTAATCAAGGTCAGAATCAAAGGGGCCTGATTGACCACTAATATGGGACCATGGACCAATGGGACAATCAGTTCCAGCTATTCTATTGATGAACAATGACCAATCAATGGATTATTCTTGTGAAATCAATGGGTAAAGACCTGAACTCAATATTTAACAGGACCTTGCTTAGTTATTAATTAAATTAAAATACTAGACAAAAATATTATGGCATAGATAAAACGTCATTGATATTAAATGTGTTTCTTGTATTCTTCAAAGCAAACTAGCATTGTTTTTATTTGATTAAACAATTAAAAGTATGTTACATTGTCAGATTTTTTTTAAAGAATTTACACAGTGGCAAGTCTAATGAGGCTGTTGCATAGGAATTTTTCCACATTCTTCTTATTATTTCATTTTTATTGTTTATTGTACTGGAATTCTTATGGCATAGGTCATGACCATATGAACTTGGGTTGCCAAGCCAACACCATAACCATAAAGTACATCTCCAAATGTTAAACCACTTTTTTCACCTTTATCGGAGTCTGAGCAAAGTGTAAAGCTGAAAATGTATGCAAGAATTATCAATTAGACACTGATAAGGTTCATCTATTACATTATTATTCAACTCACAATGAGAGTAATTGAATAATTATTCTGTCAACAAAATTTCAGGTGGAATAAATTTAGAAATATTTCAAATAATCTGGATCTCCTGATCGATGTTCAAATAAAACATTTGAATTAAAATTGTTAACATTCAGAAACTATATTAAATTAATACACACAGATTACATAAATATTAATAAAATTTATGGAAAAATAACACTGTCACTAACAACTTAAATAAAATATAACTATCCAATTGTTAATTATATATATAAACTTGCATATGATAACAAACACATTTCAGTATACTTACAGGGGAAATGACAGGCAGGGAAAAGGCCGGTTTCGATGTCATCCTAGGATTCATAATCCATTCATTAATTGTATTAACTGGTCCATGGGAAACCACATTCTGCCAGTTGCCCAACTCTCTCACCATAGTTCCACAATGGGTTGCAACATTACTAATTATTGCACCTTGTCAAAATGTTATATTTTTATCTTATTAATTATGTACGTCTACCCCCTCTGTGTCAACAACAGAGCTGGTACTGGTAAAATTAACTACTGCAGGTAAGTTTTTATTAGGAGATAGACATAACCAAACCAGCCAATAACAGATAGGACTGATCCACTATTTGAGAGGGAGGTAAAAAAATGTCACAACCATGGCAACTATTGAAAATAAAGTGTAGTATTATACTACTGAAGGACAGGCAGTAATGAATTGAAGGTGTAGGCACAGCAAACCTTTGTAAACTTCAACCATGTCCTTGCTTAGACTTGATGATATCAAAAGGATTATTAATATTAGCTGGTCTCACACAAGTTCAATCCTAATTCGCTTCCTCCATATATTGCACTTGAAGGATGACTCCAGCAAGCAACTTGCATTCGCTTTAATTACAATATCATAGTATAGTTTATTTTAAAATGTAAACTAAGGATTTGGGTGACTGCTTTTGTGGCTCTGTATAAATATACAGAGGATCTTTATAACAGAATATGTTGATGTTACACTGGGATTATGGTGGGAATGTTGAGTGATATGTCATACTGTCTAATTGTAAATCATACATCCATGCTAATAAACCATGACTAGCAAAACTGATTTAGCATACCGTAAATGCACAAATAAGCGCCGCTCTCGAATAAGCACCACACCAAACCTAATTTTTTTAGCTAAGGACCGCTATAAAATAAGCTCTGCGGCCAGGGGGGTGGGGGGACGAAGGGATGGGCGAGGATGGGGGATGGGTTGGGATGTCAGATTTCCCCGACGAAAGCAAAGTGGGCGTGGTCGAGCTTCGATTAAAAGGTTTTGAAAGTGGTCCTGGGGGTGAAACCCTCGAAAATTTTGACAATTTAGGGCTTTCAAAGGCTTATTTAATCAATTTTAGAGTCTACTAATATGTAGAAAACATAATTTTTTTTTTCTCCCCGACGAATTGTGCTCTCCCCGACGGGGGCTCCGGCCCTTCCGGCCCCCCCTTGCTGGTGCCACCCCTGTCCGCGGCGCTTAATTGATAGCCCTGTGTGTAATGAAACACTATGAGAAACAGGGTTTTAAATACAATTAAGATTAACACAATGATGACACAAGCACTTCTTTATAAACGTTTATTTACAATGACATCGGACCTATGAACACATGACATAGGTAACACGGGAACAGGCATGGAAAGCCTGTTTTCCAATACTTCACCAATACATTTTTATAAGCGCCGCTCTCAAATAAGAGCGTCACTCTGAAGCCTCAAAAATGTTTATAAGCACTGAGGTACTTATTCATGCATTTACGGTAGTTGATAGTGTTATAACATATAAATGAGCAATAAACACAATGGTTATAATGGACAGAAAGCACTTGATTTAATAGCTATGTCATTGTAACTGTCAGGTAGTGGAGAACTGGAAAGAGAGAAATCAGCAGGTATTTACACACAATCATCCTTTATAAATAAATTGTAATCAATTCAAGAATTACCAATGTGATTCTTATATAATAAACGTCATATCCCTAAACAATGATAACAATAAAAGATAAACAAAATCAAATAAAGTAACTGAAAATAATTGATCTAACCTGTCTGTTGGTAAAGTTTGGTTTTTGATTGATTGATGAGGCAGTTGCTTGTAAACTAAATTGAACACCAAATGGTGAGTCCTATCAAATGAAAAGCAGAAGAAATCAAATCAAATCAATACTGACAAAAAAGAAAAAAAAGTAAATATGGTTCAACAACCAACAAAAGTCTAAAAATGTAAATCACATTAACAATAATAAATAAAAAAATTAACTATTTAATTCAATATTTACAACTGGGACACACACAGTTATTACACCTGCCAACTTTACTGTCGTCTAATGCGTGAGACAAAAAAAAAAATTAAATTTGTATATAGCGCCTTCTATGTAAAAATCCTGAAATAGAGCACCCTCTATGTTTTTTTTTTCATCGATTGGTAAAGCTTCGTTAAAATAAATTTATATGGCCTGTATTCACATGATGCGTTCACTTCATTTTTATGAATTTTAGGGTATAATCGGCCTATACATTTTATCTTTTATAACATTATTATGATGCATGATATGATAATAAAATGTAGGCATGAGACGTAAAAAGTGGATGCTCTTTAGTTACGACACACTTACTAATGCAAGTAGAATATGCATATGTGTACATAATGTGCAAAAAAAAGAATACTTTTTGTAAATAATAAGTGAAAGAGCATAAACTAAATTTTGTGTTCCTAACTCTCTTTTTAGGCTAGGATCACTTAAAAATATTTGAATTTACAATCCGTAAACATTATTTTGAACACAGCAATGCAAAGGTTATTCTAGAGCCCAAAGCCATACTCTGAAGTTTTTTTAATTGTGCGGAGGATACCTAAAAAAAAATCGGCCCAAATATGTGCGGCAAATCGCTAGGAAAATAGTTGCGCGGAATTGTAATTGCGGCATAATATTGCAATATTATATTAAGATTTGTTCGAAGCCTAACTTAATACGCAGACGGATTTCTAGGCCAAATTTTTGCGCAGAGGTTATATATTCCCTGTGCAGTACTTACTATACAATCTAGCCCCAATGTGCCTGAATCTGAAAGTTTAAATTAGTAAGTATTTGGATACTGCCTTACTGCATAATTCCTCATTCCATGAGAAATTTATAAATTTCTACGTAAGGTATAAATAAGGAAAAAATGAATGAATATATTGATAATGTGGTATTTAATATTTATATGAAAATGAATTCAGGCCTAGGCCTAGTAGTAGTAGTAGTAGTGTGTAGGCCTAGTCTTATTTATGTCACGATGAATCGATTCTTCTTGAATAATCTTTAAAAATAAAATTAAAAAACAGCATTTTTTTTGTAAAAAAAATTATTTATTTCATGATCAACAAGTAGGCTAGCCTAGACCTAATATAGAAGAGGTTAGGCCTAATATGCCTACACCGGGCTAGGCCTAGAGCTTGCTAGCCTAACCTAGCCTAGCCTCCTCTTCCTAGGCCTCTAGCCTAGCAAGGACCCTACCTAGGCCTACCCTACCCTAGCCTAGTTTGTTGGGTAGGTAGGCCTAGCCCTACTTTGGGCTAAGCCTAGTCTCATACAATAATAAAACTAAATATGAATTCGTATACCTCCTTTGTATTTGAGATTGACGCTTTAACTTTTGCACGACTGTACGGATTCATAATTCATAATTTTATTACACATCAAAAACACAGAAATCAACTTCTTCCGCACTTGTGTACAGCGCCATGTTTGAAACCTGTAGCAACATCAATACAACGTAGAGGGGGTGGATGCTTTGATCATGTGTTTTCGTGAATGTCAACAAACAACACAGGTGAATATTGACCCTTAGTAAACCGATATCGTTCAACGGCTACCAAACTAAATAATGTCTTCAGACTTCAATCCCAAAGGTTTGCAACTATAGTTTTTTTCATTGATCAACGTGGCCGTGGAGCCTAGCTAAAACAGAGGACCTCCTTACCTATCCAAACTAGTCTAGTCCTAGGGAGTTGCCTATGACTCATTATGACGTGGACTGGTGTCAATGGACCGACCATGTCTTCATACTTAATTTTGTGGCCCACTGCTAGCACTACTCAGAGAGCGTACAGTAGATCTATTGATATTAGCGGGGTTGGCACCAGGATTTGCCCGACAAGGGTCCAAGGTTCCCTACGATAAAAAGTGGTCGTGGTCGGGCGTCTCTCAAAGTCTTTGTAAAGTGGTCAGGGGGAAAGCCCCCCCCCCAAAAAAATATGACAATTTAGTGGTTTCAAAGGCTTATTTATCGATTTTAGAGTTTATTAATATGTAGAAAATACATACATTTTTTTTTTCTCCCTGTCGAATTGTGGTTTTCTCCCCGACGAAGGAGGGGAAGCGGCAGGCCTCCCCGACTTAGCCCTTACATAGCAACTGTTAATTAGTATAATGTAGTATAACATTTGCATAAAACTTGCAGACAGTAATTGTTTTTCAGGCACCAGGGGGTTCAGTGCATTGCTTTGTAAAGACAATCTCATTATTTTCCTGACATCAAAATTGTTCCAAAATTATACACTCATTTTTGTAACCAAATATAGAATGTGTATAGAAATAAATAAAGATTTGTTAAATTCTTGGCTCATTGAAATTAATGGAGTCATGCTTTTTTCGATTCCTCCGGCATCACATGGTTCTCGATATTGGCTGGAGATTGTATTGTATTTTTAGCAGATTATATTTCACTATCAATGAAATGTAAGGTGCAGTCAGCCACAATGGACTATCTTGGATTTTATTGTTAAAGAACATTTATACTGAACTGTCAAATGTATGTGTCCTGTCTAAGATTTATTTAAAGGATGTTTTGCTAATGTTATATTTTTCAGATCACCAACATATACGTTTCAATCCCCTCAAAGGGGAATGGGTTCTAGTCTCTGCACATCGTATGAAACGACCCTGGACAGGTCAAGTAGAAAAACCATCCGAGGAAGATATTCCAAGACATAATCCTAAAAATCCACTGTGTCCTGGTGCCACAAGAGCCAATGGAAAGGTATAAAAAAAACTAAATAATTGGTATCTGTAACGTCTATAAATATGTTATATCTGTGAATACTGTACAACAGTTAATATATCAACATTTAAAATCCAAGAATTTCTTTCTGGACACGGGCATTCAACTTTATATTGGAGACTAGTGTTTTGACCTAGATGCACACATAAAAAAAAGTTCTAACTAGTTATGCACATCTCCAGTATTGTTTAGTTTTTACTTTATCGTTAAAAGAAAGAGAGAAAAAATGTCTCCCAGTAATGGTTCTTTGGCAATCTGCCATCTTCTTGTAGCCTGGTATAGATTGCCAAGAAAATGTTACAAGTATACATTTTTCCATTTCATGGTTCTACCAAAGAGTGTAGAATTGCAAGTGGTCTCACTGGCCTGATTTGGTATGCACGCAATAGAACATTAAAAAAATACTGCCACAAGATAGGGGGCGGCCTATTAGGGGTGCCCTATTAGAATATGAACATTCAAACTGATGCGAATAGAGTTTTGCTCAAACCTTGTCTTTTAAGGACATGCCCCTTCATGGCAGTACTTTTTGATATAGGATTACGTTCCAACAAAACCATGAGAATCGGACCTCTCGGAGTTTTATAATATTTGGTTTAACTTAAAAGTAAAACTTGAACAATGAAATTATTTTTCAAATCTAGATGAATTTCTTCAACATCACATGTATGATAATTCAAATACAACTTAATTTATTCTAACAATTGATTATATTAATGATGGTATTGTAACAATCTTTCCACAGGTAAACCCAAATTACACAAGTACATTTGTTTTTGAGAATGACTTCCCAGCATTACTTAATGAGGGCACAGTTGATCCAGGTAAATAAATGTTATTAATAGATAAACAGGAGCATGAGTGAAGTATGGGCATTGTCATCATAACATTGGGTTTTTTTTTGTATATAATAATGTTTGTATAAGTATATGAATGAATATGTAATTATAAATTGACATTACACTTGAAATTTAGCACAGGCATCAGTGCTATTATACACCACCAAGAACCACTTGGAACCATCCAGGACCTCTGTGACAAAAATTAAATTATTGTACCTTTCTGTTTCATAACATCTTGTGATCAATGACAAGAACTGCTTCCATTACTTTTATTGTAATTTTGATATAAGTTTTAGAAAATTTACTTGCAGCATAGCACTTATTTACTTATACGATACGCATTTAAATTAAATAGACACCAAAACAAAGGGATAAAATTTAAGCAAATCATTTATTAAAAATAATAATAATAATAGTGTAGTTTTATATAGCGCACAAATCCATCTAATGTAAGATGCTCAAGGCGCTTGAAATGTGGACTAGGAACTCGATCAATGACTTTCTTCGCCCCTAAGGGTCCCTTCGTGTCTGTGCTACCCGGTAACACGGTACCAGTAACTCTCGTCGTCCACCATGTGGTGGACATCAGTAATCATTTTATTTCATTATATCATTTGTTTCTCAAGGTTTGGGCAAGCAACTTCATGCCAAATGAACCAAGAGTTAAAGACAAACATCAACGGGATTACTACATCAAAGAGAAAGTACCAATGCTGATGGAGTATCTGAAGGTAGAACTTGAAAAGAAAGTATGTTATTGAATTAATTGTCTTCCCAATCTATTTGATATACCAACATCTGCCAACCTGAACTACCCCCTCTATAGTTATAATGTGCCTTTTAAAACTAATTACAGTACTAAACAAATTTTATTCTGAGGTGCTGGATTCATCGGCAATCACATAAAATGTCAGGGTTTTTACATTTTCAAGGCTAGACGAATTAATGTAGGCCCTTGTTTAAATGCCCTCTATTGTCATTCAGGAAAAAGAACCATAACTTTTTTTCTTCTTATAGGAAAGAATAGTAGTGGAAAATGATATGTGGGTTGCTGTTGTACCATGGTGGGCTGTCTGGCCTTATGAGACCATGCTGTTGCCCAAGAGACATGTTTTACGGTTTCCTGATCTGATCGAAGAGGAACGCAAAGCCTTGGCCGACATTATGAAGCAACTACTGACAAAATACGATAACTTATTTGAGACGTCATTTCCATATTCCATGGGCTGGCATGGTAAGAAAACTATGCTAATCTCGAGAAAGGAATAACAATGTGTAAACTGATAATAGATCAGTAAAGTTGAGGTTGCTAGTGTGGTGTGGTGATAGCTGGGAAGCGGTTTGGTGCAGTGTGAACGGTTTGGTTTCCCAACCCTGGAGGTCAGGGTTTCAATCCCTCGCTGTGCATTTCGCTTGTGTCCTTGAGCAAGGTACTTCATCTGCATTGATTCTCTCCACTCAGGAGTATAAATGGGTACCTGGTGGGGTTGCCTGCTCCTGCACCGATTACCAGCAGCAAAACTTAAAGCATATGGACCCAATGATCAGGGGGAAAAAAGTGTGCTTTATAAACTCAAGGAATTGGCGCTTTATAAATGCCTATACCAATACCTGTACCAGTGTAGCCATGGAGAGTATAACCCTGTTTGATTACCTAATTTAAGCCACTTTATATGTATTAGATAATTAATATATGCTGAGTTTTCATGTTTTTGTTAAGTTTTGAATTGAAAATAATTTGGTTTTTATACACAGTGGAAAAAATTATTAAAAATGGATTATTGTGGTGGTTGAAAGTGAAAAGGCCGAGCAGTTGAGGCAGGGATATGCCGTAAATACAGACAGAATATCAACGTCGGCTCAAACGGCACGCTCATCTATTATTATAGTTCTGGATGTGGAGCAAGTCTTCTCGTATATAAACCTATAGGCCCAGTGTACACAATTGGTTCATGTGCACTTTAAAGAACCCATTACATCTTGCGAGACGAGTAGGAGGTTACCCCAGTATAGTGTTCCATCTCACAGCCCCTGTCATTGTGGACCAGACGGCACACACTTTTGGCCTGTGCATGATGACACAACGGGACCCTTTGGGGAGAAGTAAATTGTAAGAATGAGTATTCCACATCCGTCTCAGGTTGAAACCTTTAAATGTGAAGTTAATTTTGGCCCTCAATCTGGAAGAAGAGAAGAAGGCATTCAGCTGTAAGGACTGCTTGGTGGTAATTGCTGGGTAACAAAGTGGTGTCCTTTGTCTAAAATTTAATGCATACATTTTCTAGGTGCTCCTACAGGGGACAGTTTCAATGAAGACAACAGCCATTGGCAGTTGCATGCTCTGTACTTCCCACCTCTGTTAAGGTCAGCAACAGTTAAGAAGTTCATGGTTGGGTATGAGATGCTAGCTCAGCCTCAGCGAGATCTCACAGCAGAGCAGGTGAGAAACTGGTAGAAAACTTAAGTTTTTTACATTAGTCGAAAGGTATCCACTTACAAGGGCAGAAACTTTTACAAATTTCATAAGCTTCTAGCATTGTCTCATTAATACTGACATGGTTGTAGGATAAATACCTACATCATATCCCGTTGGTTTTTGTTGTTTACGTTTTTTACTCTTGTTTCTTTTATAGGCTGCTGAGAAGCTTCGTAACCTACCAGATGTTCACTACAAGGTTCAAAGTTCACAAGCAAATAGCTCATGAATTTTAGAGTCAGTATAAGGGTATATATGGCACTTGTTATGGGTCTATCATTCATAAGAATAATTACAGAAAACACAGAATACCATAAATATTCTAATAAGCACAGCAACACTTCGAGTGTAGCGCTTGAGAACAGTGCTTGCTACAAATTATTGCAGTGCTAAAATGTATTTTACGTAGGTTTACCTGACTTGTTGGTTAAATAATCCTTGAGAAAATTGTAATTTAAAAGTATCCGTATGATAGAGAACAATAAATCATTTTAAGTATGTACACTTGATTATGTTCCCTGACGTTTATTCAAAGTAGAATATATCTGATAAACGCTAAGGCGCTTATTTTAGTGTGCCACTTTAGGGAAAAAAGATCATGTCCGGTGTGGCATTTATTCGAGAGCAGTGCTTATTCGAAGGCAGTACTTATTTGAACATTTATTGTAATTTCACTATGGTAATAAAGTCACAATGTTCAAAGTGCTAATTCCCTGTTGCTCTCAGGACGAGACTCTTTTAATTCCTTGTTTCGCGAAACTTATTTTTTAAAGATCGTCAGAGGATGTTTTATTTCTGTTTAGTATAAATGTTGGCCCCATTTTTATCTCGCCTTCTTTCTTTCCCAATTTTGGTGTAATTTAAATGTAAATGAATTTTGTGCAAAGCTTGGATGATTTTTTTTCCTTGAATTTGCATATTCGATAATAATAATAATAATAATAATAATAATAATAATAATAATACAATAATAATAATACAGCAATAATAATAATACAGTAATAATAATGATACGATTAATAATTTTAAAAAATAATTTATTTTATTACATATATGTTTTTTTTAATCTTGTGTGAATGTAAACAGTGTAGTAATGGGATGGTTAAATGCTTTAAATTTATATAATTAGTAAGTTTCAAGGCAGCGACGGGCATAATAAAAATAAAGAGAGAAACTTGTATTGTTTTTCTGAAATTTCTATTTTTTCATGGCAGGTGCACAAATTGGCCAAAAATAAAATTTTATTTTTATTTGAAATCATCATCATTGGCAACCAGTAGATTCGCTAATCAAGGTATAAAAAAAGTCTTGCCTAGCGTCACAATCAGAAGCGTTTGTATTATGGGCATCACAGGCTAGCAACAAGTAATTATATGTGACAAACATAGTCATTCCTTATAACAGAGGCTGAAAAAATATTCTTTGAATTATGAACAATATTGATTATTATCTTTATTGAATGTAATGTATTATTCAAAATATAGGAAAAGTATATTATGGTGAATACCAGTATTTTAATTTTGTGTAAGGTATAGAATAATCCAATCTCATTGTTGTAAATGGAATTGAATTATTTATGAACTCATAAAATTAGACATTATACAGAATCTATAGATATAATAAATAAAGATCTATTTTATTTCCAAAACACTCCCATTAACACAATAAGTTGTTTTGTGGTTTCAACTGTATATGTTTATGTCAAAGGTCAAGTTGCATTAATAGTACACAAATCACATAGCCTATGTTGATCTGATATAAATTTTATGAAGATTTGTTGTCTATATACTGTGTCAGTCAACATTAAGTAATGTATAAAACTGCAGGTGATAGTACAGCATAAGCCATATGAATGTTCTTTTTTTAATATGATGTTTGTCTTAGTCATGTGGTTAAGACTATGAAAGGGTGTATTGCATTTCTTGGGCATTGAGATTATAAATTTGAATATGAATAATAATAATAATAGTAATTATGAAATAAAATATAAGTGTACTGTTTAATGCACACTTTGTAATTTTTATATTAAAGATGAATAGAGTAACACTATTTTAAATTGTACTGTATCTCTATTTTGTCTATGGTCAAAAATTAGTTTTGTAGTAGTAGAGAAATCCCCCAGCGCCAGCAGGGGGGTCAAGCCTCCCCCCGTTAGCCAAAGCTCTTCGGGCAGTCAGACCAAGAAGAAAAAAAAATAGGCCTAATTTTTCCATCCCTTTACTAGTCTAGAAGTCCCAATTTTATTTAAAACAAATCTCGTTTTGGGAGAAGGGGGGGGACATCCCCCTCCCAACCCAGAAACCAATGGCTTCTGTTACAGCAGCGAAGTGTAATTCCCAGCTTTCGCATTTGAGAAACGAATGGCTTCTGTTACACCATCGAAGTGTAATTCCCAGCACAACAGTAGGCATACTATGATGTAAAGTGATATCTTCACCCAGCTTCACAACCAATGACAGGACTGACAGCGTTAGACGTTTCATTCAAACATCCATAGAAAGATGTCCACTCATCAGAAAGATATTTACTCCCATTCTGACAATCTTATATTTTTAATCAAGAAAAGTACAAGAATGAAGAATAAAGACATCTTATACAATCGAGGTCATTGCTTTAATATCCTAACACTTTATAAACAATAAGAAAATGATTGATTCCATCCCATAACATCTCTGAGTAGTTAACAGGCTAAGAAAATCTAATAACCAAATTCTTAACTTGGGTGAACTCATATCAACTGACTCTAACCTGGTAAATGACTGAATTTGTTATATCCATGTTGACCTGGTAAGTCATAAACCTATTATTAGGCCCTATTCCCAACCATAAACATGTTTTTTAATATCACACTCTTATGCTAGTTAGTAGATAACTTGGCCATACATTAAATGTTTTCTGTGAACAATAATTTCAATATCTCACTCTTAGCCAGATTATTCATGTTAGTTATTAACTGTTAACTTAGTATTACATGCTGTTCAGTGACAGAAATCCAGAAGTTAATTAGGTTTATTTGATCAAATAGGTTCATTTAGTATTTACCAGATTAAGTCAGTTTAATCCCATTTCAATAACAGACTTAACCAATTGGTTTGTTAGATGATAACCTAGTAATGAATGCTGTTAACAAATAAATCATGAATTGTAATTTCTCCCTGTTCAAAACATGGAAAACCAAAAATGTGTTGAATACAGTCTTAGAAAAGTGAATGTAATCGGCCAAGGAAAACAAATTACAGTATTCAAAGCAATAGCATAATACAAATTAGCAAAGAGCACTTCCCCAAATCGATTTAAAAATATCAACATTATTTTATACATTAGTATTTTGCTTCACAATTTTGGACGCTAGAAAAGTACACTGTAAAATGACGAACAACTCAGGAGAAGTCATTCATAATCTTTTGGAAAAATATTGGTTTATAACCATCATCGTCACAATCAAAATGGACCATCAGGTAAAAGTTCTTATGTCGTTCTCAATAGATGAATTTTCTAATTTCATTTATTCATAAGAGACAACATGTAACTTGTATAAGTAATCACATATGATTACTTTTTCTAGAGTTAACACAAAAGACATTCTTAGGTTGCATTTTCCATTCGTTTATCTACTCATCTACTGTAGCTCAGGGGTGGTCAGGGGTAAGGAAAACTATATAGAAAATGTCCAGACTTAAAAGCGTTGCTTAATCAAGTAGACAAAAGGTATGTTAAATTCTATTTTACACCAAGAAAATGAATAGAATGAAAATCAGGTAGCTTCATATATATTTCACAATTCTTCACTACATAAAGGTGATTACATAAAGTGGGGAAAAACAATATAAAGTTGTTTTTTTTTAACCAAGATCGTCTCTTAACCAAATTACAAACAAAATAATTACCTAAAAACAATTCCCGAAATCTACACATATCATCTTCCCATTTGCAAATGACAACACCAAGAGATGTTCAAGTTTGTTTATTCTCCTTTGATTCACAGATGATGAAATTGTCAACCATTATGACTGTACACAAAAGATGACATGATTTAAGGTAGATTGAACTTTGAACACATATGGATAGTTTAGAGAAATCCATGTCTCTGTCTATAAATATGTTCATATTTGCACAAAAAAAATGTCTGTACGGCCAAAGAGGAAAGTGATTGACATCAATTTGCCACGGATACTATCACGATTCCCCATTGCCGGAGTCATCCTCATCATCAAAGTACACTTCATCATCCTCCTCTTCGTCCTCTTCCTCGTCATCCTCTAGATCGTACTCGTCGTAGTAGATGTCGGCAAAATCTGTTGAGCTGTGTGATTGTGGTTGAACCTTTGGTTTGATGCAGTATTCTTGCAAAGTCGTTGGAACCTTTACGCCATCTTTTTTCGCATCTTCTCGACTGGAATTCACCTGTTTTCTGCAAAAATTACAATTTATAAACAATAAATTTAAAGAAATTCACTATGTACGTGGAATGGTTAGCACAGTGAATATAATTCTGTATATCAATCTTAAGGTAGGGAGTTAGATTCTCACTTCAATCACAGGTTTGTGGCCTTGGGTAAATAAATATATCTTCATGTACATAAAATTCTTAAGGATGTGCAGTAATATTTTTTAAGCTGAGCGAAGTGACTGTTCTTTAGTGTGATTTAAAACATAAATCTCCTAAACAAAAACCCCAAATTATAGATGAATTTATCATATTTCTTTCTTCTATTCCTACTTACTCGATAATCTTCCGATATTTGTCGTCTTTTCCTTTAGTTTCCTTCCACTTTCTGTACATTACTGAGGCATCAACATTTGCAGGCGAAAATGTGTTTGGCTCATTCAGAAGAGAGATTACGCTAAGCAAGATTGTCCTACAGTGAAAAACGAAGCCAAAAAAAATTGGTACAAATTGTTCTCATTCCTTCTTGAAAGAAAAAAGGAAAGGGGGGGAGGGATGAATAACGATAAAGGGAGGGATGTGGTATGAAGAAAAATACTGTACTGCTTACCTGACACTTTGTGTGGGGTTCCACCTTTCGGATGGCAACTCGCCACTTTGTGGGTCATCTACTGGAGGGTGGAGAATTGATATGCAGACATCCCCCGTCTGTAAAAATGTAAACAAACAAATCTTTCAACAAGAGATAATCTGGTTTATTTGATCAAATAGGTTCATTTAGCATTTATCAGATTAAGTCAGTTTAATCCCATTTCAATAACAGACTTAACCAATTGATTTGTTAGATGATAACCTAGTAATGAATGCTGTTAACAAATAAATCATGAATTGTAATTTCTCCCTGTTCAAAACATGGAAAACCAAAATGTGTTGAATACAGTCTTAGAAAAGTGAATGTAATCGGCCAAGGAAAAACAAATTACAGTTTTCAAAGCAATATCATAATACAAATTAGCATTTCAAGAGTACTTCCACAAATCGATTTAAAAATATCAACATATACATATTTTGCTTCACAATTTTGGACGCTAGAAAAGTACACTGTAAAATGACGAACAACTCAGGAGAAGTCATTCATAATCTTTTGGACAAATATTGGTTTATAAACCATCATCCTCACAGTCAAAATAGACCATCAGGTAAAGGTTCTTATGTCGTTCTCAATAGATGAAATTCCTAATTTCATTTATTCATAAAAGACAACAATAACATATGAATTCTCTGTTTGATTGTAACTTTATTTCCTTGTTCTCCTTTCATATTAAAGCTATTGGATGTTGTACACGTAATTCTAAATGTAATCTGCTTTATGTTCCATTTTGTCGTGTCAATGCTACCAAAAATGGTTTTATTTCAAGTATTTGTCTTCTTTTTAATAACTGTGTTGTCCAAGACAACTCTATTGACCTTTTCTTTGACAGTTATGGATGTTTTTGTAAAAAGAAAATTTGTAAAATTGTATAAGATGAATTTTTGTTACTGTTATTATTATTATTATATTAATCATATTGCCATATTTTAATGTTTAATATTTTAATCCATTCTGTAAGTGGCGGCTTTCCCGTTGTTGAATGAGAGTATAAATAAATAAATAAATAACTTGTATAAGTAATCACATATGATTACAGGGTTGTAGCTGTAGAAAACTAAGGGTGGGTGATAATAACCAATTTTAAGAGTGGGTGGGTGATAACATTAATAAACTAAATAATAAGAGTAAGTTTAAAAGTATGGAAAAGTGGGTTAGTAAAGGTGGGTGAAAGGGCCATGAAATTAGCTTTAGACTGGGTGGAAAACTTCAAGGCTGGGTGGCCCCGCCCTCCTCCACCCACCATAAATACTGTACATCCCTGTGATTACTTTTTCTATATATTCTGGTACAGTGCCCACAACATAACCCAAGAGATAGTGTACGATACGTATCTAATTCACAATTACAGCATCTCAAAACAACAAAACAACTCTTATTATTAAGTATTGTAAGTTGACTAATCATTAATTGTTATTAAGAAAATGTAATCATGAATGTAATTAGAAACGAAGAAAGTAATAATAATTGTAACTGGGAAAATTAATGTAAATGTGAATGTAATTAATTATATTTTCATTGTAATTGACCTTATGCCTGATATATATAATAATCAAAAGTGTCGCTAAATAATTTAAAATGCAAATAATAATCATTGCATGATCAACAATCTACTAGATATCTACATAAACTTTGGAACTTGTACACTATGCAACATTATTGAGCGGCAGCCCCATGTCTACAGTATTGTTTATCCATTGTTCATCCTAGCATTTTAAATTCATTGCAGATGTTATTGCTAGCATTAAATTGTCTGATATAATTTAATTTCAGTGAACTAAACATGGAAAAAAACATGTAAATTGCACACACTGTATATAAACAATTAACCAGACAACCACAAACCAAAAAAAGAAAATAATATGAAAATTCCTTTTAATTACTACAAAATACAATCAATCATATCTGAATGTAGTGTATGATTGTCCAAAAGAAATCGAGAAAAAGAATAATTGGTCGAACATTTGTGATTTTCACCAAAATAAATGTATAGTGACTGAGTACAACTGCAGCACACCTACAGTACCAGAACAACGAAGCAGGGGGAGGGGGTCTGTGCTTAGAGTTATTACAGTACCTCCTAAACACCCATCCCACCAGCCCTCCATTAGTCATTGCTTCAGGTAGAAGACTCGAAAGATAATAAATGTATGTCTTTCTGCAGTTATGCACACAAGATATGTGAAGTCAACTGTTCAAAACTTTAGATACAGCTAATTTAAATTACACAATGTCGTCGTGATAAAAAACATGATGAATCTGTTATTGCTATCATTTTATTCATAGATTTAACTGAATTAAGGTGTTATAAAATGACAACAGATTGATCAAACATACACATCAGGAAATATGACCCGACACAATGGATAGAATGCGAGGCAAAAATTAATTCTTTCCTGACAAATAGAATTACCACGTAGGTACCTGCAATAGCACAATTATGTTATCCTATAGTCATAAATTTGGTCCACATCTCAGAATTTATTACTTAATGAATCTAGATTGACTTAGAAAGTCTTTTGGATTTTGATGCCAAGGACTCATGCCTATGACTAATATGTAATTTGGCAAAAGCATGATGCTGAGTGTAAGAGTTTTCATGTGACACAACAACACTTTGGGGAGCTAGCTTACCTCGTATATATTGGGATGCCACATTTTTGTAAGGAACTTAAATGTTGGAGGGTGGTATGGGTAGCCTGGAGGAAATGCCATCATTGCCTAAAAGATAAAAAGAGGAAGCAAAATGTCATGATCAATGCAAACAATACAATATTTTGGGGTGAAATTAAGAGGCAATGACACAGTATTCCTTTCCACTCTTAAAAAACATCATTAACATCATCATAATCATTGTTGTACATTTAATTAGACAACACCAGTGGCGGATCTAGGAATTTGAAATAGAGAGGGCATGGAGAAGGATGTTCATAGATGGAGGGTCTATACTACCTCAGCCCCATGGTTGGGGCTGAGGTACAGTAGGAAAATTTATGATTATGGCACCTCTAGATGGCCGAAAATGGCAATCTTACTGTAGACTCAAAGTTTGAGTAGAATTTTCTTTTTTTCTCAATTTTGTTTATATTTTGAAAAATTTAGGGGAAGCCTGGGCCAGCTGGACCTTCCTGAATCCGCCACTGAACATAACTAAATATCTATTGCTTGGAAAAAAAAAAAAAAACTGCAATGTCACTGAAACATTTCATACAGTTCATAACAGCATTCAACACACAGAAACTGAAGAACAACCTTTACAGTTTACATAACAATTGACACTTATATTAGAATTATAAATTTACATTGTTTATTTACCAGTGGGCCTATAGAAGTCTTTTGGACTGACCCAAAATGAATAATAGATACTGGTCTTCTTGGTGTTTTCTCTCAATTCACAGTCAAAAAGTGTCCCATTAAATAGGGGTTGTCACAAAGGAGGGGTGCTGCTACAGTACTGTATATATTAGTAAAAATTTATAGTTTATGAGTTCTACTGTATATTATTGATCTTAGTACTGTAGCAAGACGAATGCTCCATAGGCACCAAGCCTTTTGAGTGCACTAATTGTCATCTGTTTTATTCTCTTTTCATCAGGCAGCGGTTTGGGTTTACTGTATAATCAAAAGATTATGAGTCAGTGGGCTGGTCACATTGTCAGTGCCCTTGGCTAATATATCTACTGTACTTTCTTCACCAAGAATTATAATGGGCACTGGTAGATGTACAAATAAATATACCGTAAATCCTTGAATAAGCGCCGCTCTCGAATAAGCACGGTACCAAACATGGTTTTTTCGCTAAGTGCCGCTCTTGAATAAGTGCTGTTGCGCTTGATCGAGAGTACATATTACCCCATGTGTAATAAAACACTTTGAGAAACAGAGTTTTAAAGACAATGTATACAGTCTTCAAATGAATAACACAATGAAGACATTAAGCATACAGTATATTTATAAACGTTTATCTGTGATGTAGGGCATATAATAGGCCTACCAAACTACGGGAATACGTGAGATAGGTAACACGGGAACGCATGAAGAGTGCCACACCAATACCTTTTTTAAATAGGCGCTGCTTTCGAATAAGCGCCGCATTGAAGCACTATAAGCACTGAAGCATTATAAATCCATATAATAAACATTATTCGTACATAATTATCAGTATTCCTCTCACATTATTTTACAACTTCTTCCAGTTCATTTCAGGGGACACACCCACAATATTAAAATTACAGTTACCCTCAGCTTTACTACAAGTGACAATTCCGAAGCTAGTTATCATCCAGAAAGCGTGACGCAGCTCATATGCTATTGATTTTGCACTCGAAACCCAATTGGCAACCATCTAGACATGAAACATTGATTTTTCCATTACTTCATGGTATCTTCATGGATACTGTACGTGAAGATAATTATAACGATCTTTCTAAAGTAGAATACAGTAGAACTCTCATTTACGTACGGCACGGGCCCAGAGCTATTCGTAAATGCGGGTATTCGTAAAATCGGGGTTTACCCAAATTCTTATATATTTGCACTGGTACTACTTACACTGGCCTAGGCTAGGCCTACAGGCCTACGCAGCTAAGTCTGAGGGGGCCTAGGCCCCACAGTAGGCAGCTTCTAAGCATTCTGATCACACTCTAGGCCCTACACAAATTTGTTTTTATTGGACATTTTTACCTTCTTAAATACCTAGATTGTGGATTTTACTCCAACACAACTTCCATAGATACTTGTTTATTGATCATTCAATAAAACAATCAAGCACTATGTTGACTTTTAAAGCTGAAACCGATGTTTGAAAGAGAAGTAAAATTTGTCACATGCACATGTGTGTGAAGCCATAAAAAACACTGACTTTGAATAGGCCCTTTAGGGGGCCTCCTTCACTTGAGAATTAAATTGTACTGTATAATAGTATGGTGTGTTGTGTTGTATGCTTGCTAATAACAGTTACAATTCGAGCGGATTTTTTTTTTAATCTTTCACTTAAATTTGTATGACATCATCCCCTTTATTTTACGTTCGTAAAATCGGGAATTCGTTAAATCGGGGTTCGTAAATGAGGGTTTCTACTGTAAATGAAGCTTCTACCTTTCCTTTGTTTACAGTACATTACGCTATTTTTTTACAATATTTAAGTAACAACCATATTTAATGGTAATCACAGGCAGGCCCTTTAATTCATTGTAATCTACATTTAAAATACTTATTTTTACTAAATGATAACAAATTCAATGCACAGTTACTCTGGTAAATGTGATTACTTAATAATTTAGTGTTCAAATACTAAGTTATTTTTTCGTGAAAAAAAAAAAACAGCAGCCAACGGTGCCATTGGATTATAACAAATTTATTGTTTTCCGATTAATTATAATGAACATTGATATTGAAAGAGGGATTTTTCGGCTTCAAGTATGTGCTATTAAAATATACAGTTTTTGTTTCTAATGTAACTCAAATGTAGCTATGTGCAATTTCAGTAGGCATGTTCATGTGAGGCTATGCATACATAAGGGGCAAATTATCAACATAAAACTATGAATTACAATGCAGCGACGCACTTGGATTAAAAGGATAGGATACAACCATGATTGCAAGGATTATATGCACACTCACATTCAATGACCTAATGTGTACAGACTAAACTGCCACAGAAGTGGGTGTGGCATCTAGGAACCTACCAAGTGATTACTCAGCCATGTAGTGAAACCAACAAACAAAACTTGTAATAATAGCATATGACAGCATTATAATGATTACTGTAAATGATGGGAACAATGACTAAGATTAAGAAGTAAACTGAGACTCAGTAAGGATTATTATTATTAATTCTTGTGTTTATATTTTTAAAAACAGGAAATGCTGTACTTTTTATATAATCACTTCCTGTTTATGAATGTGATAGAGGCTTGGCATTTTGGAGCCAACTAACTAGATGATATGTTGCCATGGTATTTATTAAGATTATGTGAATCAATCAATGAGGACTTAACTTTACATTATGACATAATCACTTGTTTAAAAGCAAAGATATTTAATCAATTGTTGAGAAGATGAAAATTAAGTTCCACCCAAGGAATCAGTACAGATGGCCGTAAGACTAGAAGTGGTAAGCTTTTAAGCACGCCTTCTTTCTACTACCAGGAGTGGATTTGGGGGGGGGCCTTCCCCCCCCGACTTTTGGGAGGTAAAAAAAAAGGAAAAAAAAAAAAAAAAAAGAGAGAAAAAGAAAAAAATGATAGCCCAGAATGCCTCAAATGTTATGTTCGGGCGTCTAGAACACAAAAATTCGCGGGGCATGCTCCGGACCCCCTACGACAGTGTTGTCTCAATCGGATCAACTTTGGGCCCCACCTTCCGATCCCCCCTTTTGGACATTTCTGGATCCGCCCCAGACTACAAAGGAATAGAGTAAAGTAGTGGTTGGTGCCTCTATATACTACTGCAAAATGGTATCATACCAGCCTGCAATGCTTACCAAACAGGCCTACCGTTGATCAGGAAGATCGTGTGAACTCTGATCTGAGTGCATGGAACATGTTACTATAATAGTTGAGTCTTAATAAATACTTAAGAATTAAAATTAGAAAAACAACTTTGAGCTGACAAAATTAGACACTGATTATTACAAGAGCCTGGAGAGCTACATGCTATATTCTACAAATGGTGACCTCATTTGGTGACCTTAGAGAATTACAATGAAAAACAATGCAGAATAATAAGGACATTCAAAATGTTAATCACACAAAGAACAGGTAAAAGACTATTATCAAAACTTGAACATCGAAAACAGTACACACAGGTTAAATAATGGTAGCTTAAAGAATGTGTATACTGTACTGTGTATGTCAATAACCTTTTTCAGAATCCAAAATCTACCATGGTTGGTGCCTCTATATACTACTGCAAAATGGTATCATACCAGCCTGCAATGCTTACCAAACAGGCCTACCGTTGATCAGGAAGATGACCTAACATTGGGGGAAGTAGTGAATGCTAAAAAGGGAGATCAAAAAATGCAATCAATTCTTGATGATGTTAGCTTGTGGTGCGCTGACAATAGTATGCTTCCTAAACCCAGTAAATGTCATATTATGAGAGTGTCGTTTTTACAATCCCGTA